AACTTTACCAAATGCAGTCATGATTAATTGATTACATTTTTTTGTGCCTAATGGCAAGTCCCACATGTATGTGCAGTTTGCACTAGATCAGAACAAAGAACAGTGCACATTGTCTTCAGAAATGGATTCTTAAGGGGATAAATTCATGTGGCATGAGCAGCATGCCTTGCAGTATGAGATATTTAGAATATTTTTATCTTTAGAACTAATTTGAAAAAATAATTTCACCTTGTAATATCCTGAAAGCAATAAGACTTTACTATTGATCTTTATTCATGAGAAAAGGATAACAGAGATGCAGCTGACAACAAAAGTTACCGATACTTCTGGTAATGTTTACCACAGTTGTAAAAAACCACAAGGATTGAATTTTTGTCATGTGTACACCTATGTGTAAGCATTTAAGTACAGACAGAGGTATCTGCCTAGGTAGCTCCTTTGCCTCTATGTTGTTATGCTTCTGGGAAGCACGTTGAAGAGCTAGGACTTTTCAGAATATAAATTTCTCAAAACCAGTATGATTAATTAATCAGACAATCTACTTAAGAAAACAGGAAAGATAAAAACCCGTCATATTTGTCAGTACACTGCTTGTAGTATATTTGGGAAACTGTATTTCCAGGAAGTCCCAAACTCAGTTTTAAATTATTCTCTTTGGTGACTTTTTAATGGAAAGGTAACTTTTCAGAATCTGGATCCTTTTTAAATGGAAAATGTGCAATATTATCTAAGGAAAGTATGAAGTAGATTTACTGTGCCTGATTTTTTCAGTTTGCACACATTCAGTATTGGTTATATTTTTGCGCAGGATGCATATATATTTTTTTTCTGCTGAACTTTTCTCGATTGCTTTTTTTTATCAGGTTTACAAATCAAATCAAACAGGTATATTGCAGAGCTCTGATATTATTTTCTGCACTTATAGCACAATGTATTGAATTATGCTTGCTCATGTACTGCTGCTGCTATTCTCTCCAGATTGAGAGAGAATGACTGTGGGGGCTGTAAATTCACTTGGCTTCCAGCACCACTGGTTAAATCAAGAGCCCTATTCAGGCTAGAGAAGAGACGGAGCAAGTGTTCGTTACACAAATCAATTTGGTCAGAAGTACAGCATAGTGGGTATTCAGCCATTGCTCACATAATATTGTCAGCTTAATCAAATAATGCCTCGAAGACATTCACAAGCTCTTTCTGTCTCAGAAATAACTTGATTGGTGCAGCAGGAAAAAACAGGTGCTGTTTTGAGCTGTTTTGGTTTGGTTTGTTTGTTTAATTTGATGAGTGTTTTAAAACTTCAAATTGTAAAGAACTTTACCATTATGCGGGTTTGTATACATGAGAAACTCCATGTAGTATCTCTGTTTTCCATTGAATATATAATATATATATAATATACAAAATATAATCTGTTGTTTTTCTTCCCTTTCTTTTCTTCCTGTAAATATTTTACAGGTAGCTCCTACTAGAATTAGGCTGTGCTTCCTCTAGTCTTGGTATGGGATTAAAAAATATGCAACTGCTTTGTATCTGGTTACAGGTTATAGAAGAGTGATAGAGACTTGGTAAAGCTTTTTCAAGCAATTCTAATACAACATATTTTCAGCTTGTCCAGGAAGAGTTAATAGGTTTAGTTCAATTTTAGGCATTCCTACTGTTTATGTTCCATTCTTTAAAAGCTGAGATGGAAGACAGCATTCTTTCTGTAGTGGCATGCCAACAGCTCTTCTGTGACAACATTTCATTACGTTTAAAAGAGGGTTTGAGGGTGAAAGATTCTGTCTACACCACCATTGTTTTGCGGAAAATGGAAGAGATTAGTCAATGAAAGTGTAATGCTTACAATTCCAGTGTAAGAGACAAACTGAATCTGGATGCTCTCAGTAATAGATGGAAAGGATACAGAAAATCTGTATTTTCTGGGAAGAAGAATGGAATTGTTTTTTCTGTCCAAACAGTATGCATGAGGCCCTCACTGATTTCAGGTTTGCTGACCATTCTGGTGCTAAGGATGGGAGATGGCACTCTTGTGTCCAGTCAGGAGTGACCTGGGAAATAGGTTTGTATTAGAGATAGGTAAAGGTTTGAAAGCAGAGTTCCCCTCCCTCCCCAGTCCGAAGTATGTATTTCTGGGGATTTAATACTGCAAATTGGGATTAGTAAGGGGAATTAATACTCTTTGCTGGAATGTTTTAAAAAATGTTTTCAGCTAAATTCAGGTATTTTACAGTATTTCTTCTGATTCTAGAATGTGTAGTGCTAGTTGATCCTGAGGCAGCACACTGCATCTTGTGTGCTTTGGGGGTGAGATGGAAGGATCTAAGACTCCTTGGGGCTCACTTGCCCCAGAAGGAGCAGCAGCTCTTTAAGGACTAGATGCACTCTTGACAGGTCCTTCAGGAGTTCAGCAGGGACCACTGCTTGCTCTTGGGCAATCACTGCACAACAGATATTATTAAGAGTCATGACTGCCTGTTGCCAGTTGTTAGAAGGAGCCTTTTCAACTACTTAGCTTCTAAAAACTTTCAGCATAACTGGTTTATTTCATTGCATGTAACCTCCTCTCAGTGAAAACAGAAGAACTGGTAGTAGTGACAGTTGTGGAAAAACTAGGCTGGCTAAAATAAATACATTCTTATTTTAATTGATTTTAAGAACTTAGCTTCAATGTCAAGTCTTTTAAGAACTTGAGTGAAGTCTTTTAAAGAATACAAGATTTCTGTTTCTGCACCTGAGGTGAGGAAACAAAAATTTAGTGATTGGGAAAGATAAAGAATTTCTATACAAAACAACAGATTTTATTTTAACTGTCCTGATGATGGATTTGGTTTCAGTGTATACCATATATTTATATTGCAAGTATCTTTTATGAAATTAAAAAAAAAAGTTTCTGAAACACCCTCTTTGGTTTGGGTTTGATTACCTATAAGAATAGTTTCAATTTTAATTTCTTTTAACACCTATGCCTTCAGTAGCTCACTGAAGTAACGGGAGTTAATCTCAATTTATTTCTGTGCATGTGAGCATTTGGTCGTCTACTTTTGTATGCGGTATTTATAACTTTCATTATAAGTTTTAGGACTACCATATATTAAATTTTTTTAATATTTCATAATTGAAAATATGTGGTAGAATAGGAACCAGAATGCAGTCTGACTGCGTACAAAACTGCAGAGATGTAGCAAGGATAGTCTCTTATACTAACTTCAATTAATTTTTGAAGAAATATCAAACACTGGTCTTTAGATCCTCTAGCAATGAAAATATTCTCTTAAAATGTATTATGTATGTGTAAGATAAATTGCATTTTAGCTCTTTCAGTCCAGAGGGCTTTGAAACTTTCCTTTCTGGGATTTCACAAAATGCAGCCTGTCCTCTGTGTATTTTACGTCCTTGGTGTTACTGGAAGTTTTTGTATAAGCATCACATTCCAGTTTCAATTTGTAGTTATCCTTCTCCAGATCTGCTAGTCACATCCGTAGATTTCTGGATGATAATATGCTTTGTAAAGAGGCTGTTACATTTTCAAACCCTTTAATACATCTTAAATGGCTTAGCTATGTTAATTCTGGCACAGACTTTTTTAAGAGTATTGACAGGTATTAATCTTTGATGTTGATGATTTTCTGAAGATTCTGATTTTCAGTCCTCACTGCCCAAACTCTGAGACATTCTTTGCTGCGACTTTAGATTTCAGGCTTCTGTGAACAAAAGTGGTAAAATCCAGACGAAATACCCAGCAAATAACAGTGCTTGGACTTACTCACTTTACCTATTATTTGTAGCTCCTTCATTGTAGCATCATCTTCAGAAACCTCACTGGCTTTTTTGCTGGCAATATATCTGTTCAGCTTCACACATGGAAGTTGTTGTTTTGGTATGCTAATAGTGCGCAGTTCAAATCTCCTACTCCTTGTTTCTCATCATCTATGATGAGCAGAAATTACTTTTTTCAATTTGCATTTATACAGTATGCTGATGGTATATTTTCTTCAAGGGGCACCCTCTGTTCCTGAAGCTAAACAGCATCTTTAGAATTCTTTAATTCTCTTCAGATTCATCTAATTGACCCTAAATTCTTCTGAAGTGTTGTATTTCAAGTTTCCAGTCCCCAACTGCTCTCATATACCAAATTTCCTTCATATTTCTCTCCTTTTAAGGCCTGAAGGTACAAAGTAATCTCTGTGGTGTCTATGGATGGAACAGTTACCTAAAATCTAAATTTTTAGGTTTTTAGTTGGTTTCAGATAGCAAGAGATTAGCATGGAACATGTTTTTGTCTCTTAACAGCTATATACCATGTTTAGTATTTGAGAACATTTGCATTTTTGAGGGAAGATGATGTTGAATTTAACTTGCTAGAATTAGATTTATATGTAGCTACTGCTGATGTAAATTATTTATTCTATTTGAGTTCTTTTGCTTCTTTCTTAACAGGCTTATTGGTACTAAAACTGTGTGGTAAGGTTTATTTTATTAAACCACTTCTATTTTGCTTTAATGATCATCTCTTAAAAGAAATTTGATACTAGCCGAAAATGGGAGATTTCTTCTTTTGCTTTAATGAAAAGAAGTCAGAAAGATAAGCTGAACTGGAACATTAGAACACAAGAGGAAAATGAATACTTGGAAGATTAATATGGTCAGAAGGAGGAGGAAGGACAGAGAAAATAGAGTAACAGTTGTAAGGTGATCCTCGTAGTTTAATTCAACTATTTTCTTTCCTCCTCTTTTCTTGCAAATCCCATCTACCAATGCAAAAGAAAACATTATGCTGTTTCTACATACCTATGAAAAATCTTTTTCTAGTGAATGTGTGCTGTACACGGTGATTAATTTGGCAGTGTATGATATAATTAAAGAACAACTTTTAGTATTCTTCAGCACCTTTCAGCAGATTTAACTCCTTTTTAGTTTTTTTTGAGAATTCAAGCCCACCACTTTATACTAAAAATGGCAGAAATGCTTACAGTGTGTTTTATTTTGCTTTACCTTTTTAGCAGACAGATGATGCAGCACAGACCGATGGCCAGCAACAGACACAATCTTCTGAAAACACAGAAAACAAATCACAGCCAAAAAGGCTTCATGTCTCAAATATACCGTTCAGATTCCGGGATCCAGATCTTAGACAAATGTTTGGTGTAAGTACTCTTATTTCTTTGTTTATGCTTTTCTAGTATTGCAGGTATTTTATATTATATGTAGCTGTGACAGCAGTATTTCTGATTTAGACTGTTTAACCATTTTTAGTAAAGATTCACTTTTCATTTATTTATAACCAAACATCCAATTTTGCCAGTCATAACTGGGAAAAGAAATTCTCCTGATTTTTCTGTATCTCATACAGATGAGTGTATTCTATGTATTATGTTGTTTTGCATTACATTCAGAAAAAGCTATTTATGTTGACTTAAAATACTGAATGCATATAGATTCCTGCTGTACACATTTGGATTTATATGCCTGTATTTATTGGTATTTGGAGAGCATAATGTGAAATAGTAAATGCTTAACCTCATGAGCAAGGGACCCAAATATGTATAAGTAAGACACGGGCTGAATGTAGGCAGGAAGTCCAGGAGTAGGAATCCTCACCCATCCCCACAAGTATTGTAGGTCTGTGAGCTTCTAAAGTTTTTGCCAGTCTTTTTCTGTATGTCCCTCAAATTTTTCTTTTACCCAGGCCATTAGCTGCCTTTAAGTGCATTGGATGTGTTTCATACATCTCATATGTGCCATCAATTCTAGGCTCGTGACAGATTAGACCAGTTTTCTTCTCCCTGCTCCAAGAATTCTTAGGTTTATTTTTAAATGTCACTAAATAAAAACTAGTAATGGTACTTAATCAGCTACTAGTACCCAGGTTTTCCTTCTCCAAGTTGCTTTCTTATTTCTGACCCACTAAAACTTAATTCTGTTCTGTGTTAGTTTGTTAGTGCAGCATCATGGCACTATACTTCTCTCCATGTTTCATGTTCAGTTCAGATTTTTAAATACTTCTAATGTCTCTCTATGTGGGTTAAGATGTTGTGGTTTTCAATATTTATTTCCATGAAGTGAAGGAAACAGTTACTGGAAAAAGAATCCTGATATAGTATTGGGAAATGAGAGTGACTATTTTGCCATATCTGACTTGCTACAAGCAACCCCCTCTAAATGCAGGTTACAGCTCATCTGCAAAATAGCAGAAGTCATAATAATTAACCCCTCCAAGAAAATATGCAAATTTATTTAAATGAAACAAGCCAGTTAAAGTAGATTTATATTGGTTGAAAGTAGATTAATTGAAAGTTGGGGTTCTTTGTAGGTTTTGTAGTTATTTTTTTGAATAAAAAATACATGTCTTTTCAGTATTTCTAAGTATTAGGTCTCAAAAGATTGACACTGAAGAATGGCTAGAGTTTTCCAGATTAGAATGACTTGGTAACAGTAAAAGTTTAGCTTCTGAATTGAAAAAATGGAATTTCTGCAGATGTGAGTTGAATCTGATAGGAAGTATGGTAATGCTGCATCATGGCCATTTTACACTTGTAACAGATGATCTTTTTACATGGACCTAAATACAGCAGAGGAGAATTATTTAAGCATAAAGTCAGTGTCTGCTTATAGGCTAAAATTGCAGTTACAACATGAATTAGATAGTGAATGCAAAACCAAAATAAGCTAAGGGATAAGAAATGATGGTTGATTTTATGTAACCATATTGAAACACTTTAATAAGCTAGAGAAAGAATACTGTCCTTTCTGGCCTGTAATTGTGTTTTATATCTTAAAGGACTGGAGTATAGTGGGTTGTGACTTGGACTCTTTTGTCTAGATTACTCTTCATTTGCTTGCCTCTAATTTTGCTTTTCTGTTTAATATATTGTTCCACTTATCAGTGCTAACACTGTTCCACACTGCATGTTAATGACATATGAAACAACAGAAATGACCCACTGGTAAACTGCAGTGTCACATCACAAAATGTCTCATATCAGAAAGTGTTCTAACTGAACACTGCCTGGGTCAAACATGTATTCTTTTACTTGGACAAATGCAGTAAAGCCTTTGCTTTGGGATAGCAGCTATGGTCAAGTTTTCTGTGTGTGAACAATGCCTAGATGTTTGTGAGTGCTATTGTAGTGTCATTAGTAATAACATTTAATATTGTAATAGAAGTGCATTTCTGAGCAAGGAAAAATGGCCAACGAGGAAGTATCTATTCCAGTTTTCCAAAGTAGACTTTATTAAGACAAGAATTCCTTAGGGAGTAATAGTTATCCATTTTCAGCAAGATTGGAGAGAAATCTTCACTCCTTGAATCCAGCAACAAAACTCCCAGTTGGTTTAATGCTATTCCTGTAAAGCAGAAGTAACCACACTGTCCTGGGAAGCAGCTGCAAAAAGTCTTCTGAAAAAAGGTTTCAGACTGCCTTTGAAATAGTCAAATACCTTTGGCTGTATTTGATTTTATATTAACTTTTTTATGTGGTGCACCATTTTCTGAAACCAACATTTGTACTGTATATGATAGAAGTGTTGAAATTATCGTAATTTCATGTAACTTTTCTATTTCTTTGCAGCAATTTGGTAAAATCTTAGATGTTGAAATTATTTTTAATGAGCGAGGCTCAAAGGTAAGCAGTTTAATTCACCTCTGGAATTTTAAAATTTGTTTAAAATATTTATATGAGTAAAAGGAAACAACTGCACTGCTGCAAAAAATAATATCTGAAATTCTATGTTAGTGAAAACATCTTCTGAGCTGTCATTGAGTTTCCTAAGCAGTATGAAAATCATTTTGTATCTTTCGAAGGGGGTAATTTTAGCTATTCCAAACTGTCATCTATTTTGCGGGAATGTTGAATTCTGCTGTCTTTATTCTTCAAGGGTAATTATCTTGTTTATTTTATAAGATGAGTCCATACTTACAGATATTTGTAGGCAGGTTTATATTAATATAGTTTTTTTTTTCCCCTATTGAAATAAATAATGATACCTAGTAACTATCTTCTTTAGTAATTAGCTGAGAAAATATGCGATTGTTGCAGAGTATCTAAGTGCAGATGTTTTCCTCTTTAGCTAAAGCTTCAGTACACCAACCCTTTGAAAACAATCTATTTTAACATTTATTTGATTAAAAGAGTTCTTAATGTATTGCAAACATTTAATTTTTTCTGAAAATTACTTTGCCTTAAATGCATACTTCATTTTATTGGATATTTAAGAAATAAAGCAAGGTAGGACGGCTATGACTGTATTAACATTGTTACCTGGTGCAAAAACTGTAGCCCAGAATGCTTCACCTGTGATATCAGCTGCATTATCAGGGTTTATGTGTATGACATATGCATGATAACTTTTTTCATCCCTGCCATGTCAGACACAGTAGAATGTCTATCCAACGTTTCAGTCTTCCTGTAACTTTCATATATGATTTATTATTAGTGGTGGAATTCTTTTCCTGTTGCAACCATACTGTAATATGTCTTTCTTTAAGAATCAGATATATCACAAATCTCTCTTAAATCTGATATATTTTAGTTCTGTTATTTTTCCCTTGAAGTATTTGTATTCTAAACTTAAAGGCATCATTTTTTTTTGTTTTTAATAGACTAGCTGGAGTGTCGTGGTTTATATTCCAAAGTTATTCATTCATTCGTTAATTAATACCCTAGCCCACTAGCCCAAACCCAGTTGGAATATTTACCACTTTTTCAGTGAACAATCTAAATGTATGAAATTTTGTGTCTTAGAATCTCCTGAAATTTATCATCATCAAATTACTGCTTGTTTGTCAAAGATGTGGGTTGTTCAAAGCCTGCTTCTACTGGAAAGTATAATAAATTTCAAAACACATCACATGTTTGCCACCTTGATTGATTCTGTTGAAGATGGAGTGGAACTGAGTACATGTGTTTTGGTGGTGGTTTGCCCTTTTGTTTAGGCATTAAATCTTACGTATGTAGGGCTTCTAACTCCCATATTTGCATAGGACTGCATAAACATAAGGCTTTTTAAAAGTGTTCAAGGGATGGGGTGAAGAGTTATTTCTGAATTGAGAGGTTTTTAATAGTGATCTTGCAGTAGTGAAAACATCTCAAAAACAAGCTCCTAGAAAGGATTTCGAAGGAGGAGGTTTTGCTAGTCAGCCTTGTAATGTCACTTATCGCAGTTACACACTTTGTGACATAGACTCTTAAGGCCTAGTGTTCTACTTCACTATCCAGTGCTGTATTAGTGCATCCAGCCTGGCTCTAAGCTGCTGAAGCTACTAAAAGCAGTTCTGTGATGCATCTCATTGCTTATATATGTTACTTCTCAACTTGTTTAGTTATTTCAGGTGTAGCTACATAGTATTTTGATTTGTGGAGTACCCTTAGATTCTCTCAATTACATAAAAAGTTAGAAAACAGGATTAGGAATAAAAGGAACTTTTGTTGTCTTTTTTTTTTTTCCTTTTTTTTCTTTTTTTTTAACATTTATTCATTTTATTTAATCTGATCATTTCATGTCCATTCTGTAGGATTTAAGATGCACCAGATTAAAGTCCCATTCCTGGCAGTGCTTATCTATGTTTTCATAAAATCCCACTGAAACTGAAAGGACTACTAAGTGGTCTCAAACTGAGTACAGGTAAAAAAAAGTTTGCAGGATCGAGATTCAGATTTGTTTCTAGCTGCAGTTTGGCAGAAAAGAATTGATAGATTTTTTTTTTTTCTGGTTTTATTTCTTTTTATTCTAATAAATACTGTTTAAGCAGATTCTTGCAAAAACAGAGAAGTAAGCTTATTTTTATGCCGTAATAGTTAAGAATTGCATATTCAAAAACCATAGTGCTGCAGCAGTACCCTAAAGTATAATATAATTTTACAGAAGGGAGTCTCTCCATAAAAGGAACCCTAAAATAATGGAAGTTTCATACCACAAATTTATCTTTGTATGGAGGCATAATAATAATAATCAGGATAATTTTGCTAGAATTGCATGGCAGCACTGATGAATTTTGAAACTCTTAATGAGAATTGCAAGAATTTCAGTCTGGTTTTGATATAGATCTTTCTTACAACCTGTGTTCATGAAGCTTACATTTGACAATTCTTGAAGCTGTTGATAAAAGTAACATTAAAAACTGCTGGTAACTTACCTTTCTCTGCATCTACCCTCAGCTTGGAAGGACAATTTGAAATATAGCTTCCATTACTGTGCACTTGTTAATGCTACTCTGCAGGTGTGACACTTAAACTCTGCACAGAGCTGCACATGCCTTTGTCTCAGGCACAATTGCAAAGGTACAAAGGTACAGGAACATAAAGTACCTTTTTTTTTTTACAGTTTTAAATTAATACTCTATACAGCTGTATACTACATATATACTTTCTTAAATCTGTGTGTATATGTATTTGTTTATCTAGTATGTAGTATATTAATATATATGTCTTCAAATAAGAACTGCAGAGCACCTCCCAAATTAAACCAGAATGTTCTCATGTACTAACTTGGCTATTATTAAATCATTTGACAGACTTCAAAAATAAAATGCAAAAAATAACCTGTTAATAAAATACATAGTGTGCTGAGCTAAAGTAGCTGTTGAATCACCTGCCTATAAAATTAACGTTAACCTGTTTGTGTAAGTATTTGAATGTGTGATGAATGAATCTATGTTCTGTGATTGGGTTTCTGTGTCAGCTAGCTAAATTTACAGATTTGCATAAATAATAAGAGCTTAATTTAAATAGTTAATTATGATAATAATTAAAACATAAGGAATCAAAAAATTACAATGACTATTCTTTTCAGAATCCTTGAAGTTCCTGTCTTATCTTGGCTTGTGGCTCTACTTTATATCTTTTTCAAAATTTTTAATATAATTAGGTTTTTATCTTTCCTTTCAGTTGTTTGAAAAAAAATAATAATTAACTGGTAGTGCTGTGACCTAAGTCTGATTCAAAATTTTACCTAAACAATCCTACGAAATTATTGCAATTCTGAGAAGAAGCAGCTTCTCAGTGAGAAGGAGGAGGCGAGAACAGCTAGAATTGGGAGAACTGATGCTATGACACAGAGCTAGGCTCATCAGATTGATGGCTTCAGCGACGTTGTCTGCTGTGAAATTTTCTTAATGGCATCCTAAATTGTGACCTTTTTTTTTTTTACACATAAGATGGGAGGAAGCAGTTGAAGAAGAAATAAAAGTCTAAAGTTGAGGATGGGTTTAGGTATAAGAAAAGCCTATGCAGGCATCTAAAACATCAGGAGTAGTACTGAGAAGGGGAATTTACTTTCAACACTTTGGTGCTTTGGGGAAGAGAGTTACATCGTCCGTGTCTTGTGACAAGCAAGATCGTGGCTTTGTGCTAAAATTGTGGAGGGCAGAGTAGAGAAAGGAGGTGGAATCAGGTGTTTTGAGAAAGTAAAAGTGGAACTGCTGGTAGTCTGAGCTCAAGCTTAAGCAACTTTGAAAAGCATGGAACATAAACTGTTCTATATAAATGTTCCTTTCTGTGTTATAAATTGACATAAGTAAATGTACTCTTTGAGTAGATAAAATAATCCAAATAACCTGTATAATGATCCTGATAGTTTCTTAACTTTTTTCATCAATTATTGAGTAATTAGTTTTGTAGTTCATGTCCATTGTTTTTCTCAATGCTTGGTGTCAGTTTTGCTTTAGTTTCATAATTGTACATAAATGTATAAATAAATGTATAAATATCTTCCTTTGTGGTGTTTTTTTTTTCTTCTTCCTTTATTTTAATCAGTCACTATGTACATGATAGGTAGAACTGCAGAGAAGAAGTGGGCGAATACTGACCACAAAACGTAGTGAATGGACTGGAGAATGAGGAGACATGATGTATGGCTTACTGCTGAGGAAGCCTTTAACTCAGTTTAAGCTTAAGTAGCAGGAAAGCAAAAGATTATAGTAGAACTCCGAATATGTGCAGCAGTGGCAGCTGTATATAACTGGCAAATGTTTCTTATTATGAACCACCAAGGATGTCGGAACTTATTTGTTCGGGTACCTTTGGGAAAGCATGCAAAGGCATTGTAGTGCCAACGTAAGAATTACTTCAAAGGGTTGGTGTATGTTTCCAAAATGGCTTTCAATGTCTGATTTTTTTTCAAGCTATTTGCCATTGTAAAGGGTTTAATTTAACTTTGCACAGTAAAGAGTTGTAGAAGGATTGGGAATGTTTGCTTAGCCTTATACTATAAAACAAAGCATTTGTCATAATCAGTATTTCCTATTTGTTGAGTATTCTGCTGTCCCACTAACACGAGATTCTGGAGTTTTACTAGTTGCATGTTCTGTATGTGGGAAATTATATGCATATGTAGTAAATAAAGCAGTTAAACTTATTCAAAATATTTGCATTTTTATTCCTTTTCTTTTTCTATTCACATCATGTGATTTTATTTGATCTGTTAATACAAAGAAGTTTCTACTATTTTCTAAAAGTACTTTTGTTCTGTTGGTGGTTTTCTTTTTTTTTTTTTTTCTTTTATAAAAAAATAAGTAAAGGCTGTATAGTTTGACAAAAGTTTAAGTTACCCTAGTGTTGCATGGGAACAATGTTTTTTAGTATCACGACAGCATGATAAAGTAGGCAATGTTTTAGCGTATATTGACATTCAGTGTTGAATTTTGTGCACATGTTTTTTATTTCATTGAGATATCTGCATGTCATTAAAATGTGGTTCATTTTCTTTTCTCATTAGTTCATTTTTTTTCCATGTGAAGACACTGTAATTTATTTTAATTTCATTTTCTTATTGTTAGATTTATTTTCCTCTGTAGTGACATGTAGATAGGTATTTTTGATATCATTCTTTGACTTTCTCAGAGGGTATTATCTAACTGATGACAGAAAAAATTTGTTCACATTTGTCGCTTATTTACTGCACATCTCAATACAATTATAATTTTTCTAATTTGCATGTTACAGAAATGAAGCAAGGACAAGAAAATAATAAATTAAAGAGAGAGAACATAAACAAACAAGTGGTCATTGACTGAAATAATAATGTGCATGTTGTTTTCCCCCCTTCTCCCTCCTGCATGCAGGGATTTGGTTTCGTAACTTTCGAAAATAGTGCTGATGCGGACAGGGCGAGGGAGAAATTACACGGCACCGTGGTAGAGGGCCGTAAAATCGAGGTGCATGTTCAAAATATTTTCCTTTTCATCTTTTTTCTAAATGTCTGCTTCACTCTCATTTGTTGTTTCAGATGCATCATTGGTGTCTTCTGTGTGCTCCCCTTCCCCCTTCCCATTGTTTATATATATATTTATATATAAAGACAGAGAATCTGGCCTTACTTGGGTTTTTTTATTATTATTTCTTTTGTAATTATTATTATTATTATCATTATTGCTGAAAGGTGGATGAAAGAATTGAACAAACAAACAAACAAATGAAAGCTTTAATATTTTGGAAGGTATTATTTTGAATGTTTTGTAACTCAATGGGTGCAGTAGATTCCAAAAACCAGCCAACAAAAAAAAAGAAAGAAAACAGAAAAAAATTGAGAACAACAACAACAAAAAAAAAAAGTGTGACAGACAAAACAAAAAAAAACAAAAGGTGGTTTTTTTGGTTTTGTTTTGTTTTTTTTTTTTTTGCTGCAGGGTTGATGCGGGATCCACAGTGGCTTTCAAAATATTCAGATTGGGAAAGAAGCATCCAAAAGATGTACAAGAAAAAGAAACAAATCCAGACAAGAGATCAACCAATTTTAACATTTAATTTGCAATGGAGCCATCAGGCTACTTTGACTGGCTGGCCTGGCCTCTCCTGTCCATTAAAAACCCAAGACAAATGTGTTTTAATACCACTGGATCCCCTTCAATACTGCCTCAGTCGTATTTGTTAGAGTAAAAAAAAAATACCAATTGAAAATGCTGTCGTCTTTTGAGTAAGATGTTGCATATTTTGCCTTTTCATTTTCCCCCTTCGACGGTAGCGCTTAGGGCCCTCACCAAACTCTCAGTAACCATGGTAACTGTATACATACCCATGCTGGCGATGGTGCTGAATGGTAAGTGGAGAAGTCCATCTGCCGTTTCACGTATTTAGCGCTGATATACCACGTGAATTTTTTTGACTTGTTGTATTAAGTTTTCTTGATGCTACATTTTTTTCTATATTGGTACGCCTGTAATTGAGTGTACGTTTTAAGCAAGCCTGGGAGGCACTGATTGGATTGAGGATATGACTTCGTGCACATCTTACTCAGATTGTTAACTCCATATTGTGTTAAATAATGCACCCTCTTTTTATCCTTTTGTTAGCTGTGATTTTAAAGCTTGAATGATTTTGTTAATTCTTGCAATGAAAAAGGCTCTTGTTCCAAGTGTTGAATGCTAGATGTTGCTTTTCCAATGGTACTTCTCTTCTAAAGGGTTATGTTGCACACTGCTAAAATTTGTTTGTCCCTTTTTTGACATTTTCTTTGTTTCCTTGTACCTTGTCTCTTTCCTTTCTACTCCACTGCATGTTCCTTCATATGATCTTCTTTTTTTTTTTTCTGAGTATTTATTGTATCAGTGTTATCATGGAATACAAGCATGCTCTTAAGTCTTAAATTATGCAGTACCTTTTAATTTGCTTTTAATGTCTTTTTATTAAAGTTTAAATGATGTTGCTTTATTGAAATGATTTGTAAGTTAAAATGGTTATGAAAGTAAATGTAATTATAAATAGTATGATTTTGTTATGCACCTGTTGCCTTCTATAAATTAAATTGCATTTTATTTTTTACATGACTAATAGCAGTAATAATGCATGCATTTGATAGTAACGTGGATCCTCCCTATAGCCCCCTTCTAATCCAGTGTTCTATGTACTTAGGTAAATAATGCAACAGCACGTGTCATGACAAATAAAAAGACCGTCAACCCTTACACGAACGGTAAGTGCATGAGCTCTCAAGTGCTTTGTTTTAATGTCAGTGCATGTGAAACCTCACTCTTCTGCTGAACGTGTGGACTCATCTACTCATGAAATATCGTAGTCCTCATCTCCTGCATCTCCTTAGGCTCCAGCTTTGTCCAGTGACCTAAGAAATGAGATGGCCAGGTATGAATTCTGTTTATGTGTAGTTCAGCTAACTCACAGCTGTGTGGGTATCGCATGCATCATTTTGCCTGATTGGAATCTGAGTGTTTAACTACAGTGGCTTTTGTGTAGGAAAATACACCTGATTGATAGGAAAGTGTTATTCTCTTCCAGCTTTGTGTAGTGATAATGTTGCAATGAATGAAGTAATCAGAGGATTCAGTTTTGCTTGGATAGTGGAGGCAGGGAGACCAGTAAGAAGAATGTCTCTTGTCAGGCATGAGATACTTTCTAGTAGCAAGACATGCATCTAGCCAAAGATAATTTTCTGTGTCTTCCTTCCACAATTTGTTACAAGAAAAGGACAAACTAATTGGGTGCCACTTCCAGCTTATTTTTTGCTGGAAAATTCTCAATTCCACGCTATCTAAAAAATTCCTTCTAATACTGACCTAAATCAGTATACTGTGGTACATTAATGGTAGAAAAATAATCCACAGATATTTGAGAGGTTTGGAAGCCATACATTTGAAAAATGTTTCTTTTGGTGGTGTTCATGTGCTTGAGTTGTTTGCATTTGCTAGTTCAGACAGTTCTCACAAATTCCTAACTCAACAATGTGAAACAATAATCATACAATCATAGAATAGTTAGGGTTGGAAAGGACCTTAGGATCATCTAGTTCCAACCCCCCTGCCACGGCAGGGACACCTCACACTAAACCATATCACCCAAGGCCTCGTCCAACTTGGTCTTGAACACCGCCATGGATGGAGCATTCACAGCCTCCCTGGGCAACCTATTCCAGTGCCTCACCACCCTAACAGGAAAGAATTTCCTCCTTATATCCAATCTAAACTTCCCCTGTTTAAGTTTTAACCCGTTACCCCTTGTCCTGTCACTACAGTCCCTAATGAAGAGTCCCTCCCCAGCATCCCTATAGGCCCCCTTCAGATACTGGAAGGCTGCTATGAGGTCTCCACTCAGCCTTTTCTTCTCCAGGCTGAACAGCCCCAACGTCCTCAGCCTGTCTTCATACAGGAGGTGCTCCAGTCCCCTGATCATCCTCGTGGCCCTCCTCTAGACTTGTTCCAACAGTTCCACGAGAACTCACGAGAGCAGAGCAGAGGGGCAGGATCACCTCCTTCGACCTGCTGGTCATGCTCCCTTTGATGCAGCCCAGGATACGGTTGGCTTTCTGGGCTGCGAGCGCACACTGACTGCTCATGTTCATTTTCTCATCAACCAACACCCCCAAGTCCTTCTCCACAGGGCTGCTCTGAATTTCTTCTCTGCCCAACCTGTAGCTGTGCCTGGGATTGCTCTGACCCAGGTGTAGGACCTTGCACTTGTCATGGTTAAACTTCATAAGGCTGGCATCAGCCCACCTCACAAGTGTGTCGAGGTCCCTCTGGATGGCATTCCTTCCCTCCAGCGTATCAACCGAACCACACAGCTTGGTGTCATCGGCAAACTTGCTGAGGGCGCACTCAATCCCACTGTCCATGTCAGCGACAAAGATGTTGAACAAGACCGGTTCCAACACCAATCCCTGAGGGACACCACTCGTTACTGGTCTCCAGTCGGACATTGAGCCATTGACCACAACTCTGTGTGCGGCCATCCAGCCAATTCTTTATCCACCGAGTGGTCCATCCATCAAATTGATGTCTCTCCAATTTAGAGACAAGGATGTCATGTGGGACAGTGTCTAATGCTTTACACAAGTCCAGGTAGATGACATCAACTGCTCTACCCCTGTCCATCAGTTCTGCAGCCCCATCATAGAAGGCCACCAAATTGGTCAGGCAGGATTTCCCCTTTGTGAAGCCGTGCTGGCTGTCACCAAGCACCTTGTTGTTTTTCATGTGCTTTAGCATGCCTTCCAGGAGAATCTGCTCCAAGATTTTGCCAGGCAGAGTGGTGAGACTGACTGGTCTGTAATTCCCTGGGTCATCCATTTTCTCCTTCTTGAAAATGGGGGTTATATTTCCCTTTTTCCGGTCATTGGGAACTTCACCTGACTGCCATGATTTTTCAAATATGATGGCCAGTGTCTTTGCAACTTCATTTGCCAGCTCCTTCAGGACCCGCAGATGGATTTCATCAGGACCCATGGATATTAATTGAAGTTAATTACAATTGCATTTTCCAGTTTTATGAGACTGTGTAGTTATAATTACTTTCTTTTCAGTTTATTTTTTCCTATCCAGTAGAAAGCACATAGAGTAAAAGTTTCCACAGGTAGACTAGACTCTTCCATTTTGAAATGTAATGGATCTTATTTTCTACATCTGAGATCTCCTTAATGAGGTTTTACTAAAACCCAGAGCACAAAATGGCTTTATTTTTTAATGAAAGAGCCAAAACTTTTTCCTACCACTGTAAAAATAAAATGCAGTGATGATTTTCATTTGATGTGATAATTGAGCTAGTTAAAATGAACTGGAGAGGAAGAGTCTGAAATTCCTCATGCTTTCTCAGAAACTGCTTTCTTCCTTATTTTGTATGTTAATATGGAACTTGGCAAATGATGCAGATGGGAGAATCTCCTTTTTTACTGGCTTTAAAACATCTCAGTGAATCTATCGTAAGAAACATGAAGCTTGAGTAGATCACATGATTTTGTTGCAATAAGAAGCTAAATTAACTATATGTATATGTTATTATGAACTTTGCTATGTTGTAATGATACAGAGATAAGAGTAGTTTTGGCATAAATTATAATATCTATTTTATATTCATATTACCCTAAGGCTACAAAACCTCTTAAATTGGCAAATAATGTGTTACATACCAGCTCATCCAGTGCTAAGGGAAGGGGAGGCTGGAAACTGAGATATGAGGATTTTAGGAATCTGGTTTTAGAGGAGGTTCACCTCTGTGTCCTGCACTGCAGGATTACTTAGGTAATATGTTATCTTTTATTAATATCCAAAACCAGAATGATGGAAATCTGCTGTTTCCCACATGAAGTGTTTTGTCTGCCATTTTCCATCCTGTTCCATCTTGACTAGATCTCACCAAATGTAGGAATATCCTGTTCAGTTCATAAAAATCATCATTTATGTTTGGGAATCTATACATTCAAGGTGGTAGGATGGTAGACACGCAGGACATTCTCTTGCACACCTTTTGATGGTTATCTACAAAGACAAACTCTGATTGTAATTCATAATATTTTTATTTTTTTAGTGTCTATGGTCCCCTGAAATAAACGCATGTTCTTCTTACATAATCATTACAAGTGATAAGGAATGAAGTGTAGACATGCAAGGTGCTTCATTTAGTTTAATCAGTGCTTGTATTATCAGTCATCCTGACATTGTATGATTCTAGTCCTTTATCATTTTGTCAGGAATTAACCAGTGCTATAGCTGAATATTAAAGATTATTTTGTCTAAAGTAAAGGTCTCATCTTTTAAATAAAATATAAGGCTAGTTTTTCTGTGTTCTTCTATGAGCATATTAACTCTTGCAAGATGCGTCTGAGGCAGATAGCCAGAAACATTTTGTTCGTACATGCCTATCTCTCCAGAACTGCTTCTTTTTTTAATGTGTGGCTTTATTTTTTATGGTGACTGACATGTTATTGGCAGGTATTAAAAACATAGTTGGGGCACATATTATATCAAAACATCAGGCACTAATATTTATTGTAATCTAAAAGTAAGATACACTCTGTTTTGTCTTTCATTCCCAAACACTGCTGGTTCTTTGAATACAGGGCTCACGTTGTAAATATGATTGGAAAAGTCAGTAGATTTTAAAGCACAAACCCCTAGACTTTTAAAAAGTATATGCAGCTTCATTCAAAAAAGTGGCTTTCTTTTGTGTCCTAAATGGTTTTTGAAATAAGTGTGCTTTCCAGTGACTTTTGATGGTTGCCAAAATGAGCAGTTAATACACAGTCAATTTCTAGAAGAGGTTTTTAGTGCATATTTGTTATCACACAGGATGATTTTGATAGCTGATCTTGTGCTTTGGAGCTAGAACTACCTTTTCTTTGCACATTAATTCAGTGTCAGGAGTTCTATTTGTTGACAGAAATACTTTGGAGACATTTTTGGATGTTCCAGCCCATCCTTTCTCTTCTGCTCTCCATATTGCAGTTCAGGGTGCTCACCCAGGTGTTGTAGGGAGTAGAGAATTACGTGCAAGTATATTCAGAGAACCTCAGCAATACCTGAGGAACTTGAAACAGAGATCAGTAGAAGGATAAGCGCATTTTAAACTTTATACTTGGGGTGCCTTGAGTTTGAGCCTTTTGTTGCCCTAAAATGCAAAATCATAGCTAGTGACTATTACCACAGTTAAATTCCCTTCCATGGCCCTTTCCTCCCTACTCTGCATGCAAACAGGAAGAAACCAAACCATGTTGCAGGGCTTCTTTCCCACCAGAGCGTTCCTCCAGCCACACATGCCAGTCTGGCCTATGAAGTGAAAACAGTCCTCTCTGCATTGCCATGCCCCACTTCCTACCATGCTTATTACACTGTGTGGTATGATTATTTCCTTCCCTTTAGTACACATAATGAGCATTTCTCTGCATGAATGTGTGGGGATTGGGGGCAGGCAGAGGGGTTGGTTGTTTCCTCGTTTGGTTTTTAAGTTTTGAGCTTTTATGGTTTCAACTTGAGGAGGAGGTTAATATTATGTCAGTAAGAAAAATGCACAAAATTACACCCACTGCAGAGAATTTGCCTCCTCCAGCTGCTGAAGTAGGGTTACTTGGCAGCTGCTTGCTCAGATACATCAACTACTATCACACTTGATTAACCCACACAGCTATGGGCCAGCACATTGCTAGCTGACAAGATAAAGTTAAGTTTAATTACTGTTATTTTCATGATGAATGAAGTATTTCCTGTATAAGCTGCAGAAAGTTAGATGAGACAGCCATTACTGTAAGAGAGGTAAGGAACTGAAATATGAGAGTGGCTTTCAGCTGTGAAGAGCAATCTGCCTCTTCTGAGATCTTTTCTTTCTCTCAGACAAATTGTGGTGCTGCTGGTGTAACTTATCTGAGAGGTTTCTGTTAGCTCCTTTAACAGCAAAAGCTGACAGATATGTAATTTCATTCTGGGTGGTGTTGATGAGTGGTCCTCTGAGGAAGTAATGAATGTGAAATATTAAATTTTCCCTAGTCTTTAAGAAGTAAGATACTTACTGAGAGTCACAAAATTTGGGTGATTTTCTATCACACAAAATTTGGCTAAGAGTATTTGTTAAACTGGGACATTCCTAAATATACTCCTGTAGTATGTAAAATGGAAGGGTCAGGTGAGATATTTTTAGGAGGAAGGTAATTTTAGCCTTTCTTGGTTGGCCACTTTTCAGTTTCCATAATTGTCTTTTAGGTATGTATAACAACTGCAATTACTTCTGCAGAGCATATTGCATGCAATGTTGCTCTTTACTCTGAACTTACGGGTTGCATTCAAAAAACACCCCTTACCTCTGGTACTGAACAGTTAAGTGGTAAATGGTTGCTGAGCATCAGATAGAGTTAGCAGTATTTTTAAAGGATAGGAATAGTTTTCTTCTGTATTATTGAGATTTTGTATTACACTATATCAGTCTTGTAATGCATTATGGTTTTATAATCTTCTACTATGCTTTTACATTACATGATATGGCCAAAGCAGAATCAAACCTCAACACAGTTTGCATTTATATTCCTATAATCTTGGCTCTTTTGATTTTGATAAGTCTTGCTGTCCCTGTCTTGGTTGTATTTTGTTTCCAGGAGCTTAGTTACAGGATCTGTTTAAAGTACCACAGCTCTTGAGTTCACAAGGTGCCTTTGCTCAGTTTTTTTTCTTTATTCCTGTTTACAGATGTTGCTTCCCACTCTGCTGATTCAAATGTGATTTTGGAAAAACCCTAATTTTTCAGTCCCTCTAGTTCAAATAATTGTTCAAACACCTAAAAAAAAAAAAAACAAAAAAAAACAAACACCAGTGCTGAGTTTGCCCGTTTTCTTCTGCTGTTCTCTTACCTCTTCCCCTTGAGTTCCTTCAGCACTGCTGTCTTTAGCATTACATATACTTCGAACACAGGCATTACTTCTGCGGTAAGCCTGGCCACTCCAGTCTTACCTGGAAAAGCCACATTGGGTCTAAGGACACAACAGCAATTTGTTGGAGTTTGGCCATAACATGCTGCAGAATATCTGTGGGTTCTGGGCTTTAGTTTTATGCTAGCTGTGGGAGGACAGGAATTATTTAAGACATAGGCAGGGGCTGCATTTGTACCACTAAAGAGCTTTGCAGAATGTGACTGCAACATTTTCTTACATGCCAGCTACTTTATAGCAATATGCTAACAGCATTTATCATCTGCAAATGCAGGAGGTGCAGTCGCTTTTGGTATTTGCCTGTAATTGTCCTGTTCCAGTACAGACAGCCTGATGTAAAAATGCAAATGGAAACAAAAGTCTCTGATGTTTGACTGGGGTTCCACAGTGCACAAATCTCTTTCAGCTCACAATAGACATTCTTCTTAGACATGGTGTCTAAGCTTTCATTTTTCCCAGAGTAGAATTGAATTATCAGATTATTTGATTGCCTTGCAACCTTTGCTATTTCATTTGCTGTTTCTGTCCAGCACATGAACTGTTCTGGCCTCTCTGGCTTGTAACCAGAGTTAACACAATGAGAAAGACCTGGTCTACTCTGCTGCTACATGATACAAGGATACTTGAACTAGTTCTGACTCAATTCTGTAACTTCAGGCAATAAATCCACAGCAGCTTTGCATTGCAGCCAAGCTAGTGCACGTGATAGTTTACTCCAGTTTACTCCATGCCTGGAGAATGCCTTGTTTCATTACTTACTGCCATATACTTCAGAATCTGATATTAAAGATCAGTAATCTAAATCTAAACTTTTATTAAAATGACTTTTTGAAGCCATTCTATCTGTATACCTCTATCCAAAAATAAAATTAAAAAAATTATTATTATCACTAATTGCAATATTAACTCCATTATGTTTTTATGTTTGCTGCAGGCTGGAAATTAAATCCAGTTGTTGGTGCAGTTTATAGTCCAGAATTCTATGCAGGTAAGGATTACACAATAGTTGTCCATGCCATGTTTTATTTTAAAACTCTTTAAAACATGCAAAAGTACAGAGTATGCATTTGGTGTGAGGTTTGGTTTCTTCGATTCACAGTATCTGCAAGTCATGTACAGATTTGTGTTGCAGGATTTTAACTTGCCTACTAAAGTTTATACTCAGATGTATGAATATCTTTTATTGGAGAGTGGATAGTATAACATGAAATGTGCTGCAGTATCCCAGTCTTATATAAGATTTTATTTTATATATGTTTTATATTTCAGTACAATCGCTTTCTCCAGAAATTATTTAAGCCTAGTGAGCAGCAACAACAAAAATCGATGTATTTTTGTATATACATGTACATCGACACAGATAGGTATGGAGAATCTGTTTTAATAATTTTTTATTGAACATTTTTCTTTAAATTTTATTTTTACTTGTTGCGTTTCTTAGAATTTTTGTATTCTGAATCTGTATTACCACTTGAGTCTTCACTGAGATCTTGGTTACAATTTGGAGTTGATGAGATACAGTCTTTTTCTTCTGGAAATCAGTCATGGCTAGCAACAGTTTCTAAATGTGTTTTAGCAACAGTATTGAAAACAAACGTGAAACCCAAAACCCAGCTGATTTCAAGAAATTTGAATCCTGCCTGTAAACATAATCACTAGCAAGTTAAAAAAAAAAAAACAAACAAAACCACACCATTTTTTGAAAGCTAATAATTTACATCTAAGTCAGAAATAATCATAGTAAATACAAATGTTTCTAATAGGGAAGAAAGATGCCTTCCTGCCTTTTTTAGGTTCCAAAATCATACATCGGTCTTCCATGACTTTCATGGAAATTCTGGGAATTTTTGACTTTTCCATTTGGATCTGTTTTTCAGTTGTCTGGGTGCATGTATACTGGATACAAATACCTGATAATGTTTTAAAAACCCAAAATATATCTTGTCACACACTTAGGTAATGGAGGATAGAGAGTTAATTGTAGAATACATTCTTTACATCAAATAGAGAGCAGATACTAGGAAAGCGTTTTTCACAGATGGTGGTTAGGGATGGGAAGAGGTTGCCCACAGAAGCTGGGGAATCTCCATTCATAGATATTCAAGCCTCCACTCTTCAAAGCTGAAAAACTGTCATTAGTTCAAGGGACTCCAAGAGATAAAAGTTGTTAAATAGTACTGCTGTTACAAACAGATATTTATGTTTAAAAAGCTGCTTGTAATACATCCAGTGCCATCTTCTAAGATAGATAAAAATGTTCCAGTTAGGATAAAAGTGGCACCATCTAATAAAAATACTAACTTGGCATTCATGGGATTGTAATTTTAGTGCAGGCAAAATTTATTTCCATCCTTGATGTATGCCTACATTGAAAACAGGAATTTATATTGATCTCGTTTGAGTAGTTAGTGAACCAGCCCTGAACCTGCATAAATTAGAAAGTCAGAGTTATTAGTCATTTTATATAAATGACTTTGTGTTAATGACAAATGTAATAATATTCCCATAGTACAGTAATCAATTTTCTAACGTGTATGCAGAATTAACAATCTGACTTATAATTGCCTCATGTAGTAGGGCATGAAGAGTTCACATAGTTTGTAAATTAAAATCAATATTTTCAATCTCTCTTGAAGGTAATTTTCCTAATTTACTGGACTTTTTCTTAACATTTATTTTGTCTTTTAATTATAAAATGGCAGGTTATTGATTTTTTTGTATAACCTCCTAAAGTCCCAAGTGCATTTTTATTGCCAACACAAGGGAGGTGTTTGCCCTTCTTAATGAGGATCTTTAATTACCATTAGAAGAGTATTAATTTAATTTTGTGAATTATGACGTGCACTCCACTACACCTATGGAGAAAGTTCTATGAAGTTACTTCATTTATTTCATATTATCATTCTGTTTATACATACAGGCAGCTTCTTTGTTTTGGTTTGGGTTTTTTTAATGCATATCAAATGCTTATTTTCTGTACTGACTAATAGATTTTTTTTTTCAGGCATTTTAACTTTCTTTTCAGCAGTTTCCTTAAAAATAAGCACATAAATAAATAGCTCTGTGCAGATCTCATTAGAAAGTGAAACAGTAGAAGAGCAATGCAGTTCCTGCATGCCGTAATAGAATGCTGTGATGTATCTTTCCCTTTTGGTTCCCACCTACCACCTTATTTAGAGAAGAAGCAATTGCACTTTTGAAGATTATGAAATTAGAAATGAGATTTTTAAGACAGAATTCTGGTTATTTGGTTTTATTATTTTCTCCAACATTGTCATGTTAAAATTGAACCATCACTTTCATAGTGATGTGCAAGAAGTTTCTTTAGTTCCTAATAAATGATGAAAAATTTGGCCACTTCTGAAATAAAGATGATACATTTTCAGAGAAACTGTTGATTTAAAGTATCTTTAATCTTCATAAATAAGTAGAAAAACAGAAGGTTATACAAAGCTGTCAGGATGGTGCTGATGAATGGCAAATTCACCCGCTTCTCAATTGCTGGTGAAGACACATGCCGCAAGGCTTAACTGTATTGTACATCATATCTGCCAACTCATTTCTGTGATTAAATATTCCATCAGTGCAGGCTATAAGGCGGTAAAGCTTAACAAGATTCATAAGATGCACCACTTGAATACACATAACTCACTTCCTTGGATAGAGAGCACCCCGCATGCAAAAGAAAATTAGAATTGAGTTAAATTACTCCGTAAGACAAGATCAGTAGAGAAAGGAAAAGATCCCCTAATGCAATGCAAATCTAAGATATAGTTATGTCCTGACAACTTGAAGCAGACAATTAAAGTCAAATAGGGAAGAACGCAATGTAAATCAAGCCTAAAACTTTGAAGATAATGGTAAACAGTAGGACCAGTGGCATGATTGCTATAGCTCTGCTTTTCTTCTGGGTATACACTTCTGTAAAAGAAAACCTTTACTGAGGAAGTACATGACAGCTAAAAATGGAGACTAAGATACGTAGCAGATGCACAACCGACACTATGTAAGTGAAGTATTACTTGAGGACTAGAAAAATATACTTACGAAACACTAGATTTTTCTTCCTGAGTAGACTTTCTAAGACTGTTTTCCTGACTTCGAAATACTCATGCTGTAGTAAACTAGAACACTCCAGAAACATGTCTATGTTACGTGATAGCATTAATAGGGATTGCCAGTGAGATGTTAATTTGAAGACTGCTGTTGTAATTCCGAGGTTTAGCAAGTGTCCCTCATAGCTGCTGCCCGTGGCTGTGCTGGTGAGCTGGCTGGTTGGCACACCACCTGCCCCTCCCACTGCTCCACTAAAAAGTCCTAACGTGACTTTTCATAGAAAACAAAAGGACAGTGATTTTCTTCATTTGTTACTTTCAGCATTTCACAGAATTCCATTCTTCTGCATATGATAACTCATAAGTTATTTTAAAAAAATTGAATGATGTCCACAAAGTTTCCTTCTAGTAAGTAAAAGCATACTAATTAAGGTCCTTTTCCTTCTCATGAGAAAGAAACGTTTTTAATGAAGTTGTTATTTCCATTTCAGCTTATCTTTTCCTGTAAACTATCAAGTTCTCAGGCAGGTCATAGTGAGGGGCTTTGTAAGAAGCACCATGTGATTCGTCTCACAAAGTCTTCATGAAAACTAGGAAAAATTTTCAGTCATTTGTGCATCCCTCCAATTTTAAATCCATCCCATAGTGACACATGATTTTGCTATGTTAAGCTACAATCTGTTCTCTTCCCCCATAAACTCATCTTTGGCTGGCAAAATAGATTTGCAGTTTGGTTTCTTTACTGGTAGTACTCTGGTACTTACTTATCTTACTTAACTTACTAAAGTTAAGTAAGTAAGGGTTTTTATAGTATCATTTTTATCTGCATATTTATTTTTGTGTAGTGTATAGTTTACCTGTAATACCTGGCCTTCCTTTCAGCCTCAGGCAGTCTGAAAGCAAAAGTTCCATGTTGTTCCTTTCAGGTGTTGCATCAATCAGATCAGTCCTTTAAAGCAGGTAGCTTGAGACACAATAATGTCATTTTAAAAAAATTTGTCCTTTCAAGTGGTGGAGTATTAGGGCATACACCTTTTGGAGGGGCTTCTTTTTGACAGTTCTGGCATGCAAAGTGGGGGAAAAGATGTTACAGAAAATCCGTGGGAATCTTCTTTCAGAGATCAGTTTAATTCAGTGATCCACATGAGAAAATATTCTTATCTGGTCATAACCAACAAAAAATATTAAAAACAAAAACCATCAAAATTTAAATTGGCAGTGGAGAAAGAACTTGAGACTAATAGAGAGGAACCATTAGAACAAGTCATAGAGCATAGCTTAATGAAAAGTAGTAGAGATCCCATTCACCTTTTGCTGAAGAGATTAATTACATAATATTTCTCTTGAGTAGTCATGAAGTGCTAAAAATTTTTGAGAAGCTACTTTCAAGAGTCATCCATGTACCTGAGTAGATGTATTCATTTCACAAATAGTCGTAACCCAGTAAGGAAACGGATGTAGGCACCAGTTTCTTGGACAGTTAGTGGCTCCAGCATGGCTTGGGAAATCTCCCCAATCATTTAAAATGGAAGAAAGGGGAAGAGCATGTGCTTTTTCCTGTTTTATATGCTCTTTAGAAGAGCCAGCAGTTTCAGATGCATCAGACCTTTTAGCATGCTGTGGATTTGAGAGCTAGAAGTATCCTCCAAGAAGTTGATTTTGTAATAAACTCCCTTCATAAGTTTGGTTAAAACTTTGAATATAATGTTATATATAGGTAAGAAGTGAAGTACTATATATATTTATATGTGTATATGCAGGTATATATATAAAAACATGCATTTAAGCAAGAGGAATCCAGGGGAAGAGAGAATGCCTGTGTGTTTGCTAACACTAATTCTCTTTGTTCATGTCTTAAAACATCTATTTCTGGATTGTAAGAGCACCTGGGATTCATTTAATCTTTCTAGTGTTTCTCTTTGAATTTAAATGA